GTTATGTTTTTCACCATGAAGTAGGTCAATACTAATAACTCCAGTATAGCCTGAAGCATTTACTTGTATCTAATACACATAAATACTGATGGTTTGAAGACAACTATTCTACATCATTGGTTGAGTACTTTTCAAGTTCTTTCAAAAAAGATGAATTATTTATATTAGTATAAGTGCAGCAGCACAACTCAGTCATAGATGTATAAATGGTTCAGTTGACAACTTATCCTATTTGAATTCCTTATTCCTCATTTATACAGTTCAAGATTACATTTAATTTCGTATTTGTCCATATGTAATATCTAATAACATACAAAAGAAAGACTAAGATCCAAACTGCTATAATGTAACTCATTATTGTCATCCAAGCAAATAAATGACATTTGAGAATAACAAATGACCAAAGGCTTCAAGGAGTATGTATAAAAATCGGCACCATGCTTTAAAAAGTTAAATATAGAATTTTGCCTGTCAGTATGTCATTCAATTACATTAGACAAGATGAGATGGTCTCCTGACAGGTTCATTAGAAACTATTTCATTTGTTTTAATTCCCTGTGGTTTAAGAGGAATAGCTCTTGTATAAGTTTATGGAAAAGGATCTGAAATGCTCACACTGACTGGCTAAATCAGGACTGTTTTAATGAAGTTTAGGTTATATGGAGTATTGCTGGATGAGACGGCAATAAGTGCTAAGCATAATTCCCCCCTCATAATTCAATGAATTGGAAAACAGGAAGTAGATGTCTGACACATACAGGTTCTCACACATTACAGCTCATCACTGTCAAGCTGCTGACCAAAGAAGTCATTCTGCTAAGAAATTTCTGATGAAAATATTTTTAGGACAATCAGATGGACAAGGTGATTCCATCAAACTGAACATATACCATGTAAACTTTTTGGACAATTTTATGCCAAAAAAATAAAAAAAAATTCCGATCAAAAGGGAGCTAGGAGTGTACGCCTTCTACGCCCCACCCTGAAACCGCCACTGTAACAGATTACCATTTTATTACAAGGTTTAACAGTGAATTGTTTTTACAGCAGAATGTTGCATAAGCTTTCAGATATATCGCAGGTGTAAACTTTCTAAATCACATGATTATTTCTACCTTGGGGACATAAAAGCTGGTGCGCATTAGTCTGGTGCACATTAGTCTGTAAATATGAATTGCCAAGGACACTTCAGTACAGGAAAATGTAACCAAGGGAAATTTACCCAACCAGAAAATATGTTTGTGGGAAAATTATATCCCTGTTTACATGCAGCATATTATAATTCTTACAACATAGAAATAATTTTCCCTATTTAAATACTGAGGGTTTTTTTGTTTCTTTTTCTTTTACCATATTATTCATGGCGTTGGAAGACAGCTTTACATGAAACTTATCATTATACTTCAATGTTATTATCTCTGAAAAGATGTTCTCTGCATGTTTAATGTCATTCTGTAATAATAATTTTATTTGGATAAAAGGCATTAGCCCTTAAGTCAAATATTGTTAATGTATTACCTAAATTTAATAAAAATGTTACATTCAAATCATGAATTTAATCCCAGCGGAGATTTAAAAGTCTGACAATACTTTGATGTCCAGGACAAAAACCTATTGCTTGTAAAATTGTAGTCAACATAATTACTAAATTTTAATCATTATATAAGTTATAGCCCTGGAGTAACAGTAAACATTTGTAAATTGTTTGCCTTTTATGTTGAGAGCTTGAAGTATTTAATTTTCCCTATAATATACTTTAACATTAAAGAAATCAAAATAAAGTGATTAAAACTTTTTTGAAAGATTTATATGTGACATTAAAATCAACTACATCAAGGACACCTGGAATAACCTGGAGTAGTTGTAAAGTGAGTCAGCATATTCCATCAATTATTTATTTCTTCTAGATCTTTGTTGTTTAGAAGTTTATTGAGGGCAAACAGACCAAAAACAACTCCTACATTAATGTAAAATTTATCATTTCATATTCGAAAAAGATACCTCACCTTTTAATCTTACATGATGTAATATCTTTTATTCCTTGTCAATGAAAAAAAACTGTTGATCAGTATCATATTTTTTAGATTAAATGTAATCAGATACTGGTATTCTGAAACAGTCAAGTGGAAAAGGTATAAAGATGTCATACAATTCCACAGAATTTCCAGTCATCCTTTTTTCAAAATTAAAAGTTTAGTCTTGTACTTTATATGTAAATTAACATTTTTACTCCCAGAGAAATTATTTAATCTGCGTAAAGATATTGTATGGAATACAAAATTCAAATTGGATTTCCATCTATTATACCTGGCTTAAAATAAGAGTTATGATTACTCTATAAAACAAAGACAAAACTTACAATCAATGATATCAGTCCAAAGTATTTTATAGAAGATAATAAAGCACCTCAGACAGAGAAGGTTAAGGTTCACATGGTCAGGTTTAAGGAAATTGTGCAAAGAAAACCAACAAAATAAATGCAGTGTCATCAAACACCTTGATAAACACATAATATCATCAACAGACTTGAAGTAGTTCAACTTAAAAAGAATTACATAAGGATTCCAAGAAAAAGAAAAATTCACAAAATACTGGGTGCCAAGCAAATTTTTCTCCCAACAAAAGGTATACCTAACACCTGCCAAGTTTCCTGTTTGGTTGCATGACACTACCACTGGTGTACCTTACCAAAATAAAATTTTAACTAAGTCATGATCTTTCAATAAAGTTAATGCTTTAGATTTTAATCAAAACACAATCTGCCTAATCAACATATGTTATAAATGTTTACATCAAATTCATTTTAGCCAAGTAACAGAAAATTCATTTTCTCACACTACATCTTAGTATTGTATGCGATAACAGTTTGTACTTGAAATTTAGTTTCAAATTCTAGCAATATAAAAATTTTACGACACAACATTATTCCTTAATTGAACAATTTAATCAGTTTGATTGGAAAGTTTTTTGATAAACACTAAGCACTGTAACTAAGTTTGAATGTTTGGTAAACAAAGAAAGTCCTAGTGTAGTCTCACAATATTGTATGTCTAACAATTTATCTGACAACAAATCACAAAACAGCAATTCATTTTTGAACAGTTATCTGAGATACATGTACAAATTGTTAACAATAGCCCATTTTTCTAAACTAATAAAGGGCAATAAGGCGATTGATCAAATATTTACCCTTCAATAAGTAAACCAGCATCATGTAAGTGAATAATATCTGGACAAAAATCAACAGTTCAGTGTTAATAAATATCAGTCAACATCTAAATTGGAAAATGGACTAACTAACAATGCAATTGGAATGTAGCCCAGGTATTATATTCCTACAGGCCAGGTAACTGGAGGTATTTCCTTATAGATTCTTAACCACCTTGGTAACCTCATGCCCATCTCAAAAGAGTTGGAAGTCAGGGGTTTGATCTCTAATTGAACCAAATCAGTAATTGCTGCTTCTCAGCCAACTACATGGCATTTAGAAGTAGGAAGAAAGACTGGTTGGCTCATAGTCAGAATAATGTGCCTAGATAAGGTGACATGTCTTGTCATTTAGCACCTAAAAATCTGTGAGATTAGTCTCATAAGAAGCAGTGTTTATTCCTACAACATTAACATGTTATCATCTTCAGTATGCATGTAATAAATACCACTGGTCATTACGAAACCATTTATCAATCAATCAATTATAAAATGTTGATATTGAGGAGTTATCCCCCCTTATGTTATCACCTTGAATGTGCATGTAATAATTACCACTAGACATTAGAAACTATTTATCAATCATTTTTTTATAAAATGTTGGTATAGATGAGTTACCCCCCTTATTTAACAAGGTTTACAAATTATTTCTAAACTTGCCAAGGCAAATATAAATAATACAACATGTACGGCATATACAAGTCCTGGTATATTCTCACAATTTTATTTTGCCAATTTATTTGAATATTATAAAGGAAAAGATCAAATTAAACACAAATGTGTAGGTAGTACCTGATAAAAAAAAGTGAAAGTTGTCCCTAACAATTGTAAATATTCTTAGGCAAACAACAATCAATTCTAACCCAATAAATTTCTTCCATGGCACAAAATTATAATACTAAAATAGGCTGTCAGGTCAAGAAAACATAATACCTTATCAAATTGGTCACAATCACAGGATGTATGGGTAATTGTTAATGTCTAGTTTCGAAGGTTATAATTTCACCATGTTTGTTTACATTGGGTTGATAACTTCATGATTTTTACAAAGTATTACAAATTTGGTGAAGTAAATTTTGAAGTGACCTAGTTCTTTTTATCAAAATCTGTAAGGAATAAATTTTGTCTGACGTTAAATGACTGTCTACAATAGAACTCTGATTAATTTCACTGTTCTTTGAAAGGAACAAATTGAAAAAGCCTAAGATACATTTAATTTTTGTATTAAATATTTACAATTCAAATAAAGTACAATCAAACACTTATTTCTTGTAGTTTGCAAACTTTATATAAAAGACAATTATAATATCTCTCAACAGTTTGTGTGAACTAAAAATTAATACCCCCACCTGCAGTGGTAGAGGGAAATATGTGATCTGTATACCTAACCATCACTTTTTCTTCACCCAGATAAACTTTATATAAGTCATTCATTTTTGAAAAAGACTATGTTGACCTTCAAATGTTTATTTTTCTTTTAGGTTTTATTATGTTACTTGTTGCTGTTTCATTGAATTTTGTTCATTTCTCCTAATTATTTCATTAATATGCTAATAATTTTTTAATTGAGACTGTTACTTTGACAAAGTATTAGAAAATACTGTAAGCACGTCTCTTGATTTTGACCTGCATTCTGCCAACAAATTCCTGAAGAATACCATATCATCCATTTGTATTTTATATTCTGAAGAAGCATTCAGTATAAAATATCAAAATATCATGATATATATATACCCCATATTATCTTTTCGTAACCAACCTAGCATTATTTTATAGTTTACTTCTATACGTACAGCATGGTCAGGTGGCACCTTGTCAGCAGAATCTGTGAATTGAGAGTTTTCTCCCTTTGTGTTTTCTTGTATCATGGTTTCCTCTTCCAAATCTTCCATTGTTAAGATATCTTCATCTTTATCGTATATAAGCATTTCTCATAATCCAATAACAAACAAAGGTAAAGATGTCGAAAATAATGCTGAAGAATGAGTTATCTGTCTTTGGTAAAATTATATCCAATCATAATCCTGCAATAAAAATAAAAACATTTTATCAATCAATTTTACAAAAAAAATCATAATGTGAGCTAATATTTGAATAAAAGTAAAGCCTTACAATTTATAACAGAATTATATTCTGTAAAATTTTACAAACTTGATGCAAGCAGCTGTGGTGTAGACTCATGAAATCATACTGTCAATTCAAAAATCTAACAATGTGGTTTTTATTAATGCCAAAAACACATCAGTGTTAGTTTTATATTGATTAAACTTGCATTCTGAAATTGTTATTACCCTATTTCAATGCCACTTTTTCCTGAAGTCACATTAATAAAGTTTGTATTTTCATTCGCTGATTGACAAATGCAACAATAAAATGCACACAATAATTGTTTTATACAACTGTATATCTGAACTTGCACATTTTCTATGTGATACTTGCTGATTAAGAAGAAAATAATGCAGTTAATATACACTCCTATCTTGTTGGATTTTATTCTTTTGCTTGGGTTGCTGTATCACTAACATTTACCACATCTCCTTTCTTTCAAGCTATTCTACAATCCTGTAGATACAATTTATTTAGTAATATTTTATGCAAATCAATGCCCATATATATCAGTCCTGAAATCTTTAAAGTACATTTAATAGCTGCAAATTTATAGGAAGTAGTTTATATCTCAACCAGCTTCCTACAAAATATTGCAATTTTGGTACCCTAATTCGCTGACCAGCACTGAATTCAATAAAAATCTCTTTCAAATAATATAAAGGAAATGAGTCAAGTCTGTACACCAAACATAGATCCTACCAAGAACTGGGAGATAGCTAAAATATCAAAGGAACTATATTTTCATTGTTGTTCTTCATCTTGTCAGTTAAAAATAAGGTATTCAATGATGAGCTCCAATACCACAAATCTGATTTAGTGTTTTGACATGTTTAACTTATGGTAATTTATAATTACTTTAAGTTGTTCTTCACCCTGTTAGTTGTTTCAAAGGTATTCAATGACAACCACCTACCACAAATTTGCTTTAGTGTTTTGACATGTTCAACTTCTGGTATTTTATTAGTGCTTTAAGTTGAAACTTAAAACCCTGAGGCACATGTTTATATAAACATAATCACAGTCTGAGAGAACAAATTCTTAGCATAATTGACTCTTATAGATCTTATGAAGAATCTAAATGATCAGAATTAAAATTCTAAATATCATAATTTAATAATTACTAAACATAGTTTAGAATTAAATTAAGTCTTTAATTGAAATTAGTCTAAATCTTATATGGCTAAGTTCCAAACTAACTAGATTTAACAGGAGACAAACATACGCAGGTATAGGAGAGAGCAATATGATACCAAATAAGGTGTTTTTTTGATGATTTGGTGCATAGTGCTAACCATAAACTTAAATTTAACTGAAATGTCTTTTCCATTGATTCCTTAAGATAACAGTAAATCAGTGCTGTCAAGTCTCATGGAAATTGCTGTGTGAAACTCACGCATTTTCATGCTTTCTGGCAGTATTTTCTTTGTATCTATTGTTTTTTCTTTTTGATCTTTACAATTTTTGCCAAATCTCATGCATTTGCTTCATGAAAACTTAACAGCCCTGGTAAATGGTAAAATCATTTAATGTAAATGGTTTTTCTCTCCAACTATTTCATATAATTAATCAATATTATGTATGGACTTAGTGTGATCAGATAAAAAGCTTTCTCCTCTAGATGTATTACAGAATGGGAATAATACATCATAGAATAGAATAGAAAATTTCATGATGTAAAATCACTGCAGATTTATCAAAACACCAAAAGCAAAGAAATAACACTTTTCTTGCTGTTCTATATTATTTCATTTGTCGTGCAGCTTCTTAGATCTTAAATACCTACGACAAACTTAAACAATAGTTATTACTGTCTATGTGAGCTGCATGTTAATCTCAAAAGTCAATTTGGCATTAATGTAACTATAGAAGTATTCATCTTTTGGGTATTTAGCTCAATTTGCTCTGAATGAGTCTAGATCTAGCTCCAAATAACCATCTGATGTCATGCAACAATCTCATTTTACTTTTGACTTTAATGTTTTAATTGTGATGCAAAATTTTGTGGGAACTTGTGTGACGTATGGCAGAAAAATTTGCATATAAGTGTAAATATGCCTATAACTAACTTTGTTATTCAAAGTAAGTACTAATACTTCCACCATGTTTAGCTCTTAAGTTTATTATCTTGTAAGTTTTCAGAATTGTAACCAAGTAGTAGTCTTGGCTGAGAATTTTTTTCCTGGTTTGAAACATTATTCTAAAAATAAACTATTAACTATAGGATGCGGTGGATACCTGCAACATTGTGTCGGCTGTGTTGGATACCAGCAGCGGGTTTTTCGTTCGGCTGCGGTGGATACCAGCAGCAGGGTGTCAGCTGCGGTCGATTCCGGCAGCATGATATGCAAAATAATCCCATGCTTACTTATAAAATAAATTAATAATTGGAACTGATAATTAAGAATATTTACTATACTGATGTATAATTGACTTGGGGGTGAAAAATAATTTCCCCGAAATTAACATGACCAATAGTAAGTAGCCCCAATATTTAATTCATTATATACGTGTATACATTTTTAAAGAGGTAAAGGTGAGGGCGGGTGGGAAACAAAATTAAAATCTGCTACGATGAACTGGCAGCTTAAAACAAGCTTATTAATACTTTACTTACATCTGCAGATATATGCTGCAGCTTAATTTTCACTTTTTACAGTTTTTTTTAACACTGATTATACCTATCCAAAATAAAAGCTCTCAGAAATATCAATAAATATCAGAAATTGGAAAACAACACAATAATTAAAAAGGTGAACAACCTTTACTTGACAGTTAATTGTCTATATGTTACAGTTTATTGTTTTTTCAATACAATCAGCCATGCATGGGTTATTCTTGGTCAATAGAAGTTCAAAATCATTTGTAATGTCAAATATGTATTTCACATTCCATAATAGCTGTATATAAATAGGTGTTTAAATGTCAGCAATTCAAATTTCCGAGAATTTTGATTAGTTTTAAATAATTGCAAACTATTATAATAAAAGGATAATTACTTCCCAGTTATGATTGCTGGCAGAAAAAAAAAAGATTTCAAAATCAAATCATGTTTCAGATAACCGCTTCTTGGTGGTCTCGTGGTAGTGTGCTAGCCTCAAATGTGGTAGGTTGTGTCACCTCGAAACCTAACTGGGTCAAACCATAGACTTTAAAATTGGTATTTGCAACTTCTCAGCTCAGCACATTGCATTAAGGAGTAAGAGCAACCACTGTTCGGCTTGGAGTCAGAATAATGTGTCCAGGAAGGGTGACATGTCTTCCTATGGACTGTTACTTTGTGAACTGGAACTTAAAAATCCGGCGCAGTGTGTCGGTCTAGTACAAATCAGGGTTAATATTCAAATTACATTAACATGTTCTCATCCTAAATATGTATTCAATTTGCTGCTGGACATTAAACAGCCATCTATCATCATCATCATCATCAGTCATTGGATATAAGCAATTAAAGCCAACCGGATGGCCGTCAACAATGAGAAAAACCCATACCGTATGGTTGGCTATAAAAGGCTCCGACATAAAAAATATGAAACAATTTAATTGAGAAAACTTAAATGGCCTAATTTATAACAAAACAATTTATGAAAAACAAGTATGACATACATGAACCAACGACAAACACTGAACTACAGGATCCTGACTTGGGACATCACATAAAGAATGTGGCGGGATTAAACATGTTTGTGAGCGCTCAACCCCCCCTTACCTGGGACAGTGGTGTAACAGTACAACATAAGAACAAACTATAAAAATTAGTTGAAAAAGACTTAACTCATCAGATGGATACAAATAGAAATACATCTAACAAAAACACAAAGTGGACATGGACGGGTACTTATACATCCCAAAAACAAAAAGACACTCAGTACAGATCTGAGAGTACTCGCAGTTACTGACAGCTTGTTCAAAGCCAATAACAACTAATGAAAAAAATCATGTATCTAAGACTTAAATATCAATCAGTACACACCCACCATCCAATGGATTAAGTGTAAAGATGTCATTAACAGTCCGAGAAAAACATGATCTTGTGCAATGCCAAACTATAAGTATCGACAGATTGTAGTACAGTGAAAGTACATATGTGTAATATTTAGTATGGTTTTAATTTACTGATAACACAATCAATATTTACACCAATAAAAACAATATTCAAAGATTTAATAACAGTGTTGAATAGGTAACCTTTTAGAATAAGTTTATTTAAAGGATTGATAAGTTTACTCGGATCACATCTAAATTTCGGGGCTCAGTTTACAACATCACCGTAAAATTTAGGATGTGCTATTCCGTTTGAATTAAGTTTTCTACAGGTACAGCCAAACTTGCAGACCAAATCTTTGTATCTATGAAAGAATTTAGTAAAGGTTTTAAATAATTTGTGGTAACAAAATCCCTGACTTAATAATTTAGTAGTAATACATAGATTACGCTTGTTAAAATCCAAAACGTCACTACAAACACGAGCATAGTGAACAAGTTGCGATATATAAACACCGTAAGACGGTGCCAAAGGAACATCACCGTCCAAAAAGGAAAAATTAACAATAGGTAAAGAAAAATCATCCCTTTTGTCGTAAATTTTTGTGAAGAGTTTCTGGTGTAATACTGAAATATCTAAATCTAGGAAAGGACACTTATTACTGTTGATATTAGATTTATTTAAAGTAAGTTCCTTTGGGTAAATTTCAGCTGTATAGTTAGAGAATTCTTGATTATTCAACGAAAAATATCATCAAGATAACGGTAAGTGTTGTTGAATTTATCAATTAAATGGAATTTAGATGGTTCTTTACTGAGTTTGGCCATAACCTGTAATTCATAGCAGTAAAGGAACAAGTCTGCTATTAAAGGGGCACAATTTGTGCCCATCAGAATACCTACAATCTATCGATAAACATTATTGCCGAAATGTAAATAAAATTTAGTGCTTTATTCATCTCATCACACCCCAAGTAAGTATATCTAGCATATTTACCATTCTCATTAGAGAAATATAGATTCCACAACTGCATCAAGTGTATTACGATATTTCTCCACTCGAGACAGTTAAATTTTAGTATTTAAACGCGAGGCTTGCCGAGCTTTTTAAATAATTAAAATTTAACTGTTGAGAGTGGAGAAATATCGTAATACACGAGTTATAGTGGTGGAATCTGTTTCTCTAATGATTTTTATCCTTCCTTTTCAAAGATTTGCAGAAAGTTGTGTTCTTTATATGTGACGTCATCAGACAAGGTCGCCTTTTTTCATGACGTCACAATAGGAAATTCAGAAGAAATCAAGAAAATTGGACGTCATAATTAAAATTTCGACCAATCATTTGCCGAGAACAGTTATTTCACTAGTGAGAACATTTTTTCACAATCGGTTGGGAAATGTGAAAATAGTGAAAAAATTAGAGAAAAGGATTTATATGAGTTGCAGCAAATAAAATGCAACCCGATTTATCGAGCGACCATTTAATTAGCTAGGAAAACTTTTGTTTGATAAGTTTGTGTGGAAGTGTAGTATACAGAGTGGAAAAGTAAAAACTGTCAACTGAATCACAAGGACCATCAAATGCATGTAATTTATCTAAAACATCTGAAGAATTTTTTACACTAAAAAAATGGTTAATTAGCAGTGTTCATCTCTGTACAGCAAAATGAAAGAAACCTTTTTTTTAACCTTTCTTACCTTGGAAGAAATTGTAGTTTAAACTATTTCCTTATTTCCCAGAAAACACAAAAATCATCGAAAAAGTTTGTTATCCCAAGTGAAGGAGGAAAGACTACTGAATGAGTAATTACTATTTTTACAAGACTAATTACTATACATGTATATTAATTATCTACCTGCCTGTATCTGGCAGATAATGACGTAATTACTCCAATGAAATCAAAAGACTATCATGTACTTCTATTATGTTCTCAAGCTATCTTGTTAGTTATCACTTATAGATCAAGATAAATTAATTACCAGTTCTGTTAGATTAATAGAAAATAACTATATGAGAATTAAGATGCGAAGGGGGAAAATGTAACTAGAATATAAAACATAAAATATTTGATGCATGGATGCGAGTTAACTTACAACCATATTCATGACAATAACTTGTTTACCTCTATGTCATTTGGTCTCTGGTGGAGAGTTGTCTCATTGGCAATCCTACCACATCTTCTTATTCTTATATTGTGATATGAATATGATACAAGCTTTGCACTAAAATGACATACTGAACCATATTTTTAAGTGCTAGCTCACAAAGTGAATTGCCCGCTGCAAGAAATGACACCCTACCCAGACACAACATTCTTAATATATGCCACATGTCTTTAGTTTGACCTGGCCTGGGATCTTATCCACTGTCTTAAGCACTGAAGGCAAGGAAGATATTACTTAAATAAGTCTTTAAAGTTAGTATATAGAGTTATAGTTAAAGCTACTGTTTCATCAGAAAAGAATGAATCATGCATCATTTGCATATCTACATGACTTCTTTTTTGGAAGGTGGTCAAGTCTATGTGTCTACTTTATCGTGATCATTGATTCCTGACTATTAAGATTATACATGTACATGCTCTGAATCATACACAAAATATGAGAAAGGACCTTCAAAGGGTTGAACTATTTTGTGTAATTTAAACTTACATTTATTCTGGCTGATGTTAAAAACTATTGAAATGTGGTAGAAGTTTGTATGTGCTTGAATATTGATATCTTTAATATAATCTATAGTTCATACTTCTTTAAATGTATGTTGTATATATAAATCAAGGTATTATTTAAAATTGGAATATTTTCAATTAGGGGATTGTTTTAAATGAAAATTGTGGTGCACAAGAATTTCAATAGGATTTTCAATGAAGTGCATAAGATTATATAAACTTCTGTATACTAATTTTCACTGTACAATATAGCTCAGAATTTTTGAAAATGTTTTATTAGAGCTCTGAGTGAAATTTTAAAAAAAAAATTGTGGTACACGGGATTTTTTTTTTTTTTAAAAAGAGAAAAAAAACTCCACAGCTGCATATAAGACTTGTAATATATGTATGGTAAAATTTACTTTCATTAAATACAGATCAAATAATTTTGTATCTCTCAGAAATCAGTTGTTATGAGAGCTCTACCGTGTTTATTTGTTTCAGATCTCTATTTGTTTGTTACTTTTTCTTGGAGACTATTTCTTTTCTTTTTTTTATTTTATTTCATTTAAACTTACATTTTGTCTTGTCTTTTCTTATTTTTTTCAAGGTTCCTTTAATTTGTGTTCTTATTTTTGACAGTGCAAGTCTTCCTAAACTAAAAACTTTTATCAAAATTTAAATACCTCTTCAGCAATTCTTCTTTAAATCCAAAAGATCTGAAAATATCACAATATGTTGAGATAAAACTACATATGTCATCCAAAAAAATCTGTGAAAAACACAAAAATCCGCAAAAAACTACATTTTAAAATCTATACACTTCCACAAAACTGTAAAGAAAACAAGTTGTCATGTTTATTTCACTTCCTCATAATGACACAAGAAATGTACAATTCTAAATGTTAATTTCTCAAGGCAGTCTTTTAAAAGTTACATTTTCTCTTTGTAGTTTTAGCACAGGTAATACAGGTATATATAATGGTTAAACATGCCATAGGTGTCAAGGTTTTTGTTAGGCTACAAGAAAATATTTTGTTTGAAAACATTGATTAAGATCTTAACAATTAGAAAGCAAATGTTTAAAATCAAATTTATATAATAAAACGATAAAAACATTGGGTTAATAGACCAGTTATGGTTCCTTAATATGCTTGATAAAGTTGGTATGTCAATATGCATGACAAATCCTCCCATGTTCATAAACATCTATTGCAAAAAAAACCTGAATGATCCTGTTATGGTAATAGAAGTATTCTAAGGGAATAAAGTTTGTATTAACATGTTACATTACTATTTCTGATGTAATCTTTGTACAATACTTTTTCATCAACAGCAGATTTCTTTTGCTGCATGTTTTTTATCAAGCCATATCTATATACCGGTAATAAACTCCTATTTCTGACATTTCTATGACAGTTTTTATCTAAATGTAAGGAATACAAAAAGAGAGATTAAATAACATTCAGTAAACCTGCTTATTTTTTTACACCATATAATGCCTTGCTTTTCATTTATGAACCTGAAGATTAAATTCAAAACAAGAGCTCTGAGGGCATTGCAATATGCAATACAATGTCCTCTACCTGCAGGAACAATGGATGAGTTTACTCTTAAATGGGATAAGCATTTGATTACAAGAAGATCTGGTGATTTTTCAATTCTGTCAGAAAATTAGGAAAGAGTTGTGTAGCTGATTTAGCTAGAAGCCAATATCATCATCAATCAGATCAAAATGATTATTTAAAAGATAGGTATATTTTCAATGACTGCCACCCCAACCAATACATTGAAGAATGAGGTTTTTTCTCTCTCTCTTTTTCAGACATTTTCAAGCAATTTTCTCTGTCCAAGGGTTACAACTTTTGATATAATGCTCAAACATACAAAACTCAAACTTAATCTGGAACTTCTTATGATATGACGAAATACCTAATCTCTAATCAATTGATTCAATCATTACAGATAAAAGTGTGGAAAACTGATATTTTTAAGAAATTTTCTATGTCCTATGACCATAACTTCTTAGCAATATAGCTCAAACATAACAAAACTTACATTCTAGCTGTAACTTCTTATAAAAATACAAAAAATATCTTATCACCTGATTCATACATTACAGATAAAAGGAGAGGATGTCACATGGTCACTTATGTTGTTATAACTTGTGTCCAATCGGGTTTCCTACTTTTGCATGTTTAAACTAAACTACAGATAAAAGTGTGGAAATCTGATATTCTAAAGCAATTTTCTATATCCAAGGGTAACAACTTCTGCAAAAATTGCTAAACTGGAACAAAATAAATCTTAATTTTTGATTTCTTATGATATGATTATATACCAAATACCATTACCTACTGGTAATTATTAATTCTGTCATAACAGAAAAATTGTGGAAAACAGGTATTTTGAAAAATTTTCTATATCCAAGGCCCATAACTTCGCCCAAAAAATAGCCCTAGCAGAATGAATCTCTTAATTTAATCTCTAAATTCACATCCTATGACGATAGACCAAATTTCTAATCAACAGATTAAAGTGCTGAAAATTTCATGTACAAAATGCAAACCTATGTGCTCCCTCAACAGGGACTTTAAAACTTCAAATATGAAAATATAACCATCTAATATAATCAAATGAGTACACAAGTGTATTTTCAGAGTAAATTATATATTTTTAATGTTAATGTCATTTTTGACAGAATTTTTCTCTTACTCAGCTTATAACTAGTTCTACTTGATTTAGTAATAATTTGGAAGTTATTGAGGAGTGCTAAACACTCTGTGGTATTTCATTACGACCTGCCTAATGTATACATGGATTAATTATCAGATTATTCAGAGAAGATACAAAGCCAAGCTGACAGATTGCTGGCACATGTATAGGGATGTTCTTACCTGTAAGTTCTAGCTTGGCAAATTGTCTATCAATCCAAATAAAAATCTTAATCTTTATACTGACATTTTGAACTTTCTTGGTTTTGTTGCACTTTAAAAAGAAACATCCATGCCAAGTTTACTGATAATACACAATATATTTTGATAACACTACCCACAGTGCAAGGTTCCCGTAGATGCAGCGGTCTATAAGTAGGATTTACTGTGCAGAAGCTGTTATGATTTGCACATATGTCCTATTTCTGCACTACCTTTTTAATTTTACAGACAGGGCAATAAAGTAATCTAATTTCTATCAGATAAATTCAAAGTGTAAATATTTCAACTCAACATTTTTTCACTTCAAGAGAAGTCTGATAAAATCAGATTAGATAATTAATATTTCAAGGTTGCAGTGAAGTAAGGATACATATACAGGGCATATCACTGATGGAAATGGCATTTTTTCAATGAAAGCATGCTCTTTTCTCTTCCAAAATAACAAAATGAACATAGATTTTTGTTCCTGGTCCTGCCCCTTTTAGACAAAACTAAGAAAGAAAGACATAAATAGACTCTGTATTCACTGAAATCATACATGCAGTTTTAAACAAGCCATCTGAAATTATTGCATGTATCCAATTTGACTGTTTTGGCTCTAGTGGAATATCCCTGTAGTTAGGTCACAAGGTCACCCGCCAAACCCCTCAAGGTCTCAGGTCAGATTTGAATCTGGTTTGCATACTAGAACTAGCAGATTTAAAAAATAACTTAAATATCAGCCAAAAAATTAAATCCTTCATAGCACACATACATTATATATCTTAATCCAGATTGCATTGATTGATTGATTGGTGTTTAATGCCACTTTCAACACTATTCTGCTATTTCGTGGTGGTCAGTTTTTATTGGTGGAGGAAGCTGGAGTGCCCGGAGAGAATCACGACCTTTTGGTAGAAAAACTGACAATCCTAATCACTTAAGATTGGAGTCGAGCGCACATGCCATGTGCGGGATTCGAACTCACAACCTCAGTGTTTAAAGGCTAGTGATACAGTAGTTTGACTACTTAGACCACTCGGCCACCAAGGCCTCTAATCCAGATTGTATAATTACATCTTCAAAATAGAGTATGACATGAAAAACTAGTAAATATTAAAGTCAATTCTCACTTGATCATTCCCTAAAATAAAAATATTTGACAGTTGTATTTTTCCTTTTCTCAAAACTTTCCATGAAAGGGAATAAAGAAATTGAAATAAGGATTTTCAGTTTTTGACTTCAACTTTTGGAAGTTAATTTGTGTATCATTATGGTAATACCTGATATCCCATACAAATTTTTATTACAGAAAATAATGACAGAGCATTGTCAGACCACTGAACAAAGCATGGACAAGGTCAGATCACTGAACTAAGCATGGCATGGATGAAGGTCAGATCACTGAACAAAGCATGGACGAAGGTCAGATCACTGAACAAAGCATGGACAAAGGTCAGATCACTGAACAAAGCAAGGACGAAGGATCTGTATTTCAAGCAGATTGCATTTTTAAAGTTCAAGAATTGAATAAAGCTGCTAGAAAATCATGGCATTTCTATAAACGGTATAAATTAAGATTTCTCCAACTCTGCACCAAAAAAATCATTTTGTTAACCTGAAAAAAATCATAATTAAAGAAAGCACCAAAGAGTGTTTTATGAAGTACAGGTGTATTAATTAATTAAAATCAGAAGTGTACCATTTTTGCACACCATCTGTCAGATGAAATATAGGGGTTCTAATAAATTATGAATCAGACAGTGGGCAAACATTAACTACAATATTTGTTATAATTAAAAACTGAAAATCTGATCAGCATGGCCTTTGAAAGTTAAACAATATGTATTGACCCATTTTCTATAAGTTTTTAATTACACTTATGTCAACAAGATTATTAAATACCACAAGCTATCAAAAGAAAATGAGATCTTAATAACTATTATGCATTGAAATTTTATGCTAATTCATGCAATGTTCCTTACAAAGTGAAAAATAATACCCTTTTTTTATTTGTGTTGTTGACTTTGTTGTACCCCACATATCATCTTATTAATATGGATAATCAGTAGTTTTCCTTTAACCAACCATCAACATTTTAACAAAAACTTCACATTTTAGCTAAGCATATACTTTTCTCCATTGTAAATTCCAGGACATGCTAAGACAGACCTTGATAAAGTTAATGTCAGGACACAATCTCAAGGTAGCCTTTTTTCTTCTATTTAAAAAAAAACCCAAAACTCATTTCCATTGTTTCAGGTTATTTCTTTAAGTAAACATGTTATGATTGATAAGTAAACAGTACTGCATGCCAAACATGGTATACTTACAACAAATTATTGGATTTCCAAACAATGCTTTCTCTTAACCACTGAAACTTTTAGACCTTTATTTACAGATAACTAAACACAATATGAAGACAAATATCTAAAAGATAGAAAAGGTTGTTTCCTTTCGCCCATTTTAAACAAACCATCTATTGATGTGAACAGACATGATTTCAGTTTCCTGTCGGTCAGATAAGTGGTTGCGGACCATTTATGGAGAATTAAAATCCATTAAAGTGGTAAAACATGACATTTTATTGTTAAGTCATTTAATTTATTAAACATGACATGATTACTTTTCTAATGTTTTACTTGTGACGATGTTTTGAGATTTCTGGATTTTATACAAATATCATGTCCACCTGGTTGTTATTAATTTATTAAAAAAAAGTAATAAACTAAATAATAGAAAAAAAAGAGATGTGGTGTATCAATTCATGACACAAAATCCATCTAGTCACTAGATAAAACAAAAAGCAAAGAAACAGTTCTTGTATTGCTGTTCTTCATCTAAAAGTCACAATGAGTAAAAGCTCACACCTTACTGCATGCTTAAGACAGCCGCTAGGACAGGTTTGAGCACAATTCTCTGCTTGGTATTGATAATGTATAGAAGACTGATACAAATGCGAGCTAATATTAACCAAGTAGAGACTTTATAAATTTGTTATTGGTTTTTGCAATATTAAGCTATCGTGCTTTGCATGTTTTTTTCTTTGTATAACA